ATTAGATTCACATGGGTAATGTCCATCAAGACTTTACTGATCATAGAACACATAAAGAAAACATCTTATATACACTAAATTCACCATAGGGAAGGTGAGATGCAAAATAATCCAGTTGAAAAAGGGATTAGCAAACCATAGGTAATGTATGGAAGAGATTGGTGAAGAAAAAAATGTAAGTCAGTATGATGTTCATGCAAAATTGGATCCCTGTTAGTAAGAAAATAGAAGTCTAATCAATGATAATAAAAAAAAAAAAAAAAAAACTGGTGGTCAGAAATAAGCAAGATGAGCTCTTTCCACTCCTTGTCACCTTGACTAGTGTTAATCAAGTCTCAGAACAAATCACAAAAGTTAATTCGTAAGCAGGAATAACAAGCAATCAAACTGTTGCTTGTGACAGATGATTTCAGGTGTCCCCACCAGCCTCTTGCAGAACTTGCTTCCCGGTAAAAGGCTGAAAAGATGTCTGTGGGTTCAGAACACAGTAAGGATAATGGAACCCCCTTTTATGTGGAGAGGTGGGGCTAGTGGGCTCAAGGCATTATGTGCTGCATGATCAGCACAGATTTCAGGGCCTAGTGATTTCATCTATCTTATGTGTGCAGGGTTGGTACTTGTTAACACTATTTCTCATTAATTGTAATTTGATTTAATTCTCAGTAACTGTTCAAGCTTAAACACTATGAATTTCATCAATTTAAAATCACTTCTAGCTATACTTTAAATAGACAAACCTAGTACTGATTCTGATAAGAATATCTCAGAGACTAATTAACCACCCTCAAGAGGTTGAATAAAAATAACTTGCTCTAAAGAAAGTTTGTTCAATAAATGGTGCTGGGAAAATTGGGTCGCTACATGCAAAAGAATGAAGCTTGACCACTACCTCACACCATACACAAAAATCAACTCAAAATGGATTAAAGAACTAGACATAAGACATGAAACCATAAAATACATAGAAGGAAATATAGGCGAAACACTACGTGATATGCACATCAAAGACATCTTTACAGACACATCACCCAAAGCAGTGATAGTGAAGGCAAAGATAAACAGCTGGGACTACATCAAATTAAAGAGCTTCTGCACAGCAAAAGAGACAATAACAAAAACAAAGAGAAACCTCACCAACTGGGAGAACATTTTTGCACACAACACTAATGATAAAGGACTGATCACAAAAATCTGCAAAGAGCTGATGAGACTCAACAACAACAAAGAAAATAATCCAGTCAAAAAATGGGCAGAAGAGCTAAAAAGAAACTTCTCTGAAGAGGAAATGCAAATGGCCAACAGGCATATGAAAAAATGTTCAACATCACTTGTCATCAGGGAAATCAAAACTACCATGAGATACCATCTTACACCAGTGAGAATGGCACATATTAAAAAAACTAGCAACAACAAATGTTGGCGAGGGTGTGGAGAAAAGGAACTCTTCTGCACTGTTGGTGGGAGTGCAAACTGGTCCAACCACTATGGAGAGCTGTGTGGAGATTTCTGGACCTACTAAACATAGAGCTTCCATATGATCCAGCAATTCCACTTCTAGGTATTTACCCAAAGGACACAGAAACATCAATTCCAAAGAACACCTGCACCCCTATGTTTATAGCAGCACTGTTTACAATAGCTAAGCTTTGGAAACAGCCCAAATGCCCAAAAATAGATGACTGGATCAAGAAGATGTGGTACATATATACCATGGAATATTACTCAGCATTCAAAAAAGATAAACACATGCAATTTGCAGCAACATGGATGGCGCTAGAAGGGATCATGCTCAGCGAAATAAGCCAGAAAGAAAAAGAAAAATACCGGATGGTCTCACTCATAGCAGGAATCTAGAAAACTTAAATAAGGGACCAGGAAATGAATAACTATAAGAAAGTGAAAATCAAAATCAACAAACAACTATGAACCAAAGACACTTTTGGGGGGGTGGGGGCAGGAGGGGAGGGATTGGGGTCAGAATGGGGGGCTGCAATTGTATGGGGAATATAAAAATAAAATTTATTATTTAAAAAAAAAAAGGTGAATTTTACGGTCAAAAAAAAAAAAAGAAGAAAATAAACTTGATTTCTTTTCTCAAGTAAAAATAAATAAATAAATAAATAACTTGCTCTTCCATACCTCCAAACCCATGCTAATGTATTTTAGTATAATAAAGTCATCATTGTATATGGAATGGAGGGATAATAATCAAAAGCTAGCATTATTAAAGAGTACCCATGTACTAAGTAATTTGCTTCACTTTATTTAGTAATTGCAAACAACCTGATGAACTATATAGTATTAGGCCATTTTACAAATGATGAAACTGAAATTTAGAGAGACTAAGTGACTTGTCCAAGGTCACCTAATGGACTTATAAAAGCAGCAGTTCAAAACTAGGCTTATTTGGCCCTCCTTGGTGGCCCAAAGGGTTAAGCACAGCACTATGAACTGTCCACAGCCTCTGCAGCACAAGTTCGATCCCCACCACCTTCCAGGGAGCTTCCCACATGGTGCAGCAGACCTCTCCTGTCTCTCCCACTGCTCACCTCAGCAGTGTATTTCAGTTGATCTGCCTGTTCCCGGCTCTGTCTCTGGTGAAATCTCTCACCCCCACGCCTCCCCCCCACCCCCTCCGGCCTGTTCTTGTATGCATAAATAAATAAATCTTAAAAAAAAAAAAACCCTAGGCTTGTTTAACAACAGAACACAAACTATTTGAGAAAGAAAATTAATTTAGAAAGTTAAAGTGAATAGTTTGAATTTAGACTCTGGACCAAATCATCAACAGAAGAAAGAAATGTTTCCACAGTAAGTAGAGAAATTTACAGAAATGCATTTCAGTATTTTAAATATGAAAAGTTGATGACAAAAAAGTGATTAAAAAAATAAGACTATTATAGGAAACAAAGAAATGGAAGGGAAACATTAACAATGCAGAAATTGGCAGTTTCATGACCAACTAGGTAAATGAGTTTATTTTCAACATGCTAGTTACAGCTGGGTGTGTCAATGGAATGCCTGCTAAGGTATAAAGATTTGGGGACACACTTTTCTCCCTATCCACTGAGGGTGGAGATAAAAGTCTGGTTTTTTATTATATTTGCCATAAAACAAATACTAAGAAGAAACAAAAAAAACAATAAATGCCAAACAAATGACTGCATTTATTCAACAAGTGCTAAGTAGTATCTACCACAATAAGATGGTAGAAGAATCTGTCCACACTGCAGTCTATTAAGTGCATCCACAGACATAAGCATCAAACTCACAAAAAGACATAGGAGGGGTACTAAAGTGAGCCTGAGAGTGGGACAGGCATCCTGCAAGAGGTTACCCTTGAATGATCCTTGAAGAAAATATAGGAATTACAGCGGCAAAGGGGGAGATGATGCAGGTAGAGGAAAATCCTCCTATGAATGAAATATACTACAGGATTTTGGAAGGAGATGGTGGCCAAACTGCAGATTGGGCCAGATGTTGACCTGCCTTGGGTTCAAATCCAAGAAACTAGGACAATCATGTAAACTATGAGAAGAGAGGGAAAGGCTGCTCACAGAAAGAGCTTATACTAACCAGTGCACTACTTCTGCAAGCCTAGACTTATTGGAAGCAAAAGACCTGCTATAGCTTGATAGAAATTAACTATTAACACTCAAGTGAGGACATGTGAAAGTGGACTCAGAAGAACTGAATGAGTATCAGGAAAGGGAGGGTTTTGGAGCTGCTTATTGCATTGCTACCCAAAGTAAATACCTTTGTAAGTATACAGGTGTATTTAGAACTTCCCCCATATAAAGCAGGAGTCTTTTAGGATTTGATGTCCCTGTCAGAAGAACCCATGGAGCTTTTTAATGCATGGAAGTGTTTCTGTGCATGGATTATAAATTGTGGAGGTTATATGCTCACTCATTACAGTGCCTAGCTCCGTGCAGCCTTCAAGGAGGCACAGACCTGCAATTAATGATAACTACAAGGCTATTTGACAGAAGTTCCAAGTCACCAGTCAGTAAATCTATTTGCATTAAAATCTAAGGTTTCTTTCTTGTTTTTAATCCTCTGCTAACTGCCCTGTAGGAACAGATGTTGTTATTCTGAGCCTGGCATATTATTGGAATGACTTAACTGCATCTTCCCTTGCCAGCTCATTGTGTTTAGGGTTTGAAGGCTTTGCAGTGTTTCCTTTTCTTCTTTTGATTAAAATGATGTGCCAAAAACCATATAGAAATCAGAGAATGTAAGCCTTCCAAGACACTGTCTTTGCAGGAGCAAAGAAGTTTCTCTGAATAGCAGGGCCTCCTCTCCCTCTGTCTTTTTTTTTTTTCCCCCCTCTGCAGAGCTGGCTCCTAACTTGCTCTCCTTTGGTGCAACTTGACATGCTGTGTCTAACTGGCAGTGACGCAAGCTCAAGGGGTGGGGGAAGGGCAAGCTGCCACTTGGCAACAGGCTGGAAGTCCAGGGCCCAGAATTGGGACTTCAGGTAGAGTTTTCAACCCAGAACTTCTGTTTGCATATAAAACACCTAGGAGTGATCCTCACTTTGTTTCTCTGTGTAACTTCTGCCACTTTTCTTGAATCACACAGCTCTCTCAGCCCATCTTTTGTATTCCTGCTTTTGACAGATGCAAGCAGTGTATTTTTCTACTGAGAGTCAACCATGCTAGCACAGTGATAATTGGTCACTGACAGCTCAACTGGGAGGGAGACTTTAAGGAATAGTCAAAACTGTGGTGAAGTAGACAGTAGTTTCCTGTGGAAGTGGGCAACCACTACCCAGTTTTAGGTAATCTATGCCTCATGGATCTGGCATGTGGACACAGTTTTTTAAAATCTTTCCATTGTTTTTAGAGAGAAATCAAAAATTCATACTTTTAAGAGAAATATACTAGTTTGTTTTTTTTTTTTCCTGCAAAGGATCAGAAGATGGCTATGGGGCAGATTTGGCCTACAGATCCCCTGATGTTTAAGTTATGATCTAGACTCACTCTGCCATTTTGCAGATGAGAAAACTGAGGTCTAAAGAGGTGAACTGAACTCCTTACTGTCCAAGAATGAAGAAGGAAGGAAAGACAGAACAAGGAACACGTTAGTGACCTGTGTTTCAATCTAATCTTTACCAGCCACTACTATTAAACAGTAATCCTGACACAAATGGTTTGCATATCAACTATATTATAAACTCTTTCACATAGATATCCTTTGTGTTTTCTATTGTTCCTAAAATAGTGTTAGGTACATAGTACATGTTCATCTAATGCTTTGAGCGGTGGATGGATGGGTGGGTGAGTGGGTAGATACGGTTGGAAAATAAATAAACGAGTGAAAGTAGTTTCTTAATGATAAGTATCAAAAAGATAAAGAAATAGGGAACCCTAACTTCAGGCTTACTTTAGATTCAGTTTAACCAAATTAAGTAACAACATTGTAAAAATTTCATCAGAGTCCACATCTGTCCCCACCCCTTCTCCCACATCCTAAACTACTTTGCTTCTTTAGTTTGAAAGATGATATGCACCTGAATGTTTACTATAGCAATATATGAAGAGGAGAAGTTGGAAATAAAGTGAATGCAGTTCAACTAAAGAACATCTATAGATACTGAAAATAAATTAGAATAATTCCATTTACTTGGAGGGAGTTTTATAAGTGAAAAATCAAAATGCAGAAGTGTTTAAAACAGCATCCTAATTTTTTAAATTCCAACTTCCCTATGTATATACATGTACATTTATGAGTACATATATCATCTGTCTTGAACTATATGTATGCAGGGAAAATATAAATTTGATAATATAGATTACTTTGTTATAGAAGACCAATGAGAGGGAAAGAGGCATGGCGGGAGGGGTAACTATGCAAACCCCCAAAACAAAAAACAGTTTCTTTTCTAGCTCCAAAGAAAGAGTACAGAGGTTCTCAAGAGAAAAATGAGAGCAATTCCAATCACAAAGACATTTAGATGGTTGTTGTTGCACATCTGAATAGAGCTGTATGCTCTCTGACCTAGCTATACTTTGTATTTTCGTGTAATAAACTACATCACTCTGTTTTATGTTAAAGACACAGTGAGAAGGTCACACAGATAATGAGCCATGCTAGTAAGATCTTATTTTATGGACATGTCACTTTTTCCAAACATTAGTGCTCTACTGTGTCCCAGAAATGAGGAATATGCTATATGCTAGTTGCTTAAAAGAAAAAAAAAATACCTCACTTAATACTTGCTGAGTTCATTTTACAGAATTACAGCATGAGTTCCAACCATGATACTGTCATATCAGAACACATCAGACCAGAACCCTCTGTCCCAGCTCAGACTGTCATATAATGTGCCATCCCCTCTCATTATAATACCCCTCACCCCACAACCAGGTAGACTTTACAGCCTGGCATTCATCTTGACTCATCATCCTCCATCTTCCCTAGTCAGAAAACTTTACTCTGTCCCATTATATGCTTCATGGTCTTTTTTCTTTATACTTCTCAGTGTATGACGTTTCCTTAGTAAACACTCAAAATCTTCCTGTCACTGAATTATCCCTGACTAAATGATTTGTGAGAAGTGTAAGTCTCGTTTTATTTTCTCACCTAAATCTCATTGCTCTACTCCCCCCATCTGTTTCTCTGACAGGAAACTCATCTTTGTTGTGAGTTAGGCCCCTTCAATATTGTCAGGGCTACTCACAGTTGCCCATACTGTTCTGAAAGTCAGTCCTGGCTTCCCTTGATGGCCCAACATAACACAAGAACCCAGGAATCCTTACTGGTGTGTCTGCACCTTGAAGCATCGAGTTATACATAGAGAGCCCTTGAAAACAATGGGGTGCATAGCCAGGTGCCCCAAAGTTCATTCCAGCCACATGTTCCTCCTTAGCTGTAGAGCAGAACCCCAGCAATTCATGCTTCCTTTCACTCACATTCGAGCATAGGCCTCCATGTGAAGCATCAGTATCCCAAAGTATTTCAGCAGCAAGTGATACTTATGTTCAATCTGTCCACTCTCACATGATCACTTTGCCAACATGTACATAAAATAAAATATTTCCAATATGGCCTCTCAGCCATATGAACTTTCTATCATTCTGATTGCCAGTTTCAATGTAGATTCTTTCCCTACACCAAACAATTCTTGACCACCCACCTGGAGTCTTACAATTCAACTCAATTCTGATATTATCTGCCTGGAGATAGCATCAGATTAAGAGCTCAGTCCCAAAAGACTGCCCCCAGCTCCAATGCCAAATGCAAATGAAAGTTGTCACTTGTACTTCTGATTGGTTTAAACCAGAGGTTCCAGGCCTCCCTGGTGGTGCAAGGGGTTAAAGCACCGCACTATGAAGCAATCCACAGCCTCCCCAGCCTGATCCCTGGCTTGCCAAGGAGCAACCCACATGGCACAGCAGACCTCTCCTGACTCACCTGCTGGCCCCCTCAGCAGTGTATTTCAGTCAGTCTGCCTGGTCTCTTCCCACTCTGTCTCTGGTGAATCCTCTCACCTCCCGCATCTCTGGCCTGCACCCCAGCTCTTGTATGCATAAACAAATAAATCTTTAAAAAATACAAATAAATGTTTTAAAAAAATAAACCAGAGGTTCCCACGACCTCTCTCACGCATTCCATTTATTTGCCAGAGTGAATCAAAGAACTTGATTTTAAAACATTTTACTTACTAGACTGTAACTGTGAGGGAGAATGTTTGCACCAAGATATGTCTTTTCCCAGTAATGTCAGATAGCAGCGCGGTAACCACAGAACTGGACCCAAACGGTTATTCTCAAGTTGACAACTTAGTGTCATTGGAGGTGTGAGGGAAAAGATGTATGTGAGAGCATCCAAGGCATGGGGAGATCCTCTGAGTAAGACCATGGAGACTCTGGCCAGAATTCATGGTGGACTAGTTCCTCAAAAAAAAAAAAAAAAAAGGGAGGGGGGAGGGGAACCTCTCTCTCTGAAGCTGTGGGAGAACATACTTTTTTAAACATGAGTTCCCCCTTCTCCATGCTAGTCAAACCATACTCCTCAGTTACCAAGTATAAAAGGCAGAAAGATTGAGACAAATGTAATTCTTTGTTATGCATCTTTGGCCAAAGTACCCATTTTATAAACAGCTCACCTTCGGGAGATAGAGTTATGAGCAATAAAGGTGCCTGGGGAAGTCCCGAGGGAATCACCTGCTAGCTATCTCTCAGAAAATTATAAAAGTAGCCAACGCACAGCACGTAAAGGAGTATTTAAACACGAACAACGCTCATGGGCTTCCAGAAAATGGGACACCTTTCTAAAAGTGACCACGAGAATTCACGGCCAAGAAGGGTGCCAGGGAATGTCTGGGATGAGGGAGATACTCAGACTTGAGGGCACTGGCAGATTCTTTGTGCTTTAGGACTTCAGTGCTCCTAGAAAGCCAGCACTGTCTTCATGAAAGCAGTAGACTGACCCAATTCCCACCACCTTCAGCACAGTGGCAAACTGTAGCTGTATCGACGGCAGATAATACAACCTTCCCTTACCTTCAGGAGACACGTTCTGAGACCTCCCCCTGTGCCCCCACCCTAGTGGATGCCTGAAACCTTGGACGGTACTGAATCCTTTATACCCCATTAAGTTCCCCATACAAACATGCCTAGAGTGAAGTTTACTTTATAAATTTGGCACTGTGAGAATTAACAATAATAATAAAAACTAGAACGATCACCACAACATACAATGAAACGCATGTGAAATGGTCTCTCTCTGAAAACATCCCACTGTGCTACACTCACCTTTCCTGGGAAGACGTGGGGGGCTGCCCGGCCCACGAGCTGACACAGGTAAATGACGTGTCAATGTGACGTCGTTGAGGCTGCTCCATACAGCGTGGATGCGCTGCTCGCGGGACGTAACAAGGTCACGCGAGATTTCCTCCCAACACTCAGAACTGAGCACAATTTGAAACTTACAAATTGTTAATGTCTGGGATTTTGTCATGTGTTCGAGCAGTTGATCGTGGGTAACTGAAACTGATAAAAGCGAAACCATGGACAAGGGAGGGCCGCTGTGAATATATTAGGCTTTGTTGGCCCGGGAGCCACACACCATCTCAGCTGCTCAACTCTGCGCTGGGTTTTCAAGGCAGCCACAGACTGCCTTGGGCTGGATTTGGCCTGTGGGCTGCAGTCTGCGGACCCCTGGGCTACGGACAGCATAAATTTCAAAGTACCTAGCTTCGCCTTGAAGACTCTCAGGCCCTAATCTACTTTCTTGGTCTTCTAGACCATCATTCTTTTCAGCAGATGGTAACTGAGCCCTGCTGGGTTGCAGGCACTGTGCTAAGCAGGGGAGATATATAAGGACAAATCAAAATCCCTGCACTCAGGGACTTACTGTTTCTTGTGGGATCAAAAATACTGTAGTATCAAATACTGTAGTATCAAATGATACTACAATGGTGGATATGTTAAGGGGAAAGGGTGCCCTGAGCAAACTCCATACAGGCTTTGTGGATGCCACCCCCCACTCCATCGAGACCCTGGGAACTACAGATCCCATAATTGCCAAAGGGAAGTTACAAGGATTTAAGGGTGGAGTTAAGCAGCCATTTTCTCTGTAAATAAAAACCAGCCATGTTGGGGGGTGGGGCGGCTAGAACACTTGGCTGGTGGGCTAGGCCAGGCAGGTTTGGTGAGGTGGGGGATTTGGGATTCCAGGTTGGTGGACAGGGTAGGACACATTTAAGAATTTATCTCCCTCTTTTCTCCCTGAGTTGTACATTTCCTCATTCCCCTTCCTTTGTAAATAAACCTTTTGTTAACCTTTTGTGTGTGCCTGCAGTGTAAGTCCCTTTTAAGCACGTGAGGGTGAGGACCTACAGTCAGGCAACCCATTTTAGGGCAGGGTTGCCCTGTAACAGATACATGTCATTATACATTTTTCCACACCTGCAGAATGTACAACTCCAAGAGTGAACAGTAATGTAAACGATGGACTCTGGGTGGTGATGATGTGTCATACTGTAGGTTCGAAAGTTATTCCAAATGG